GGGTTTCAGAAAATGTGACTGCAAATCTAAATGTACCACAAATAGGCGTGCTTGTCGCAAAAACCAATTGCTACGTAATTCAAAGTGTCACCAATCTTTAGATTGCACTAATAAGTAAGTACAATTTTATCATATGTTTTGCAAATTCATTTCCCTAATTGTAGTAATATTTTAAACCGTTTGATTTTTGTATTAAAGTTTTTTTAATTGATTGATGATTGATTCAATCAACTGATTGTTTGATTGTATTAACTTGATTTTTTAGATATCGAAAATTAAATAAAAAACATTATGTTAATTTAAGCGTACAGAAACGTTGCTGTTGTTTCAGCAAAGATCTTATTTTCACTTTACCGAGTGCCTAGTAGGTAATTTGCAGATTACCTAGATAATCTGCACATTACCTAGGTAATTTGAGAAATAGAACAATTTTAGCAACTTTAACAGATCACGCTAGTTAATCTGCAGATTAGCTAGGTAATCTGCAGATTAACGAGTTTCCGAGCTTTAGCAGTAACATATATATTAAAAATCATTATCAATGTAATGAGGAAAGTTGGTATTATTTAGACTTTTCGGAAGAATTTATAAATGAAGTAAGATAATTTCCACAAAGTTTAACTAAGTAGATTACAAAAATATTTTTAAAAATTAGCAAAACTCCCATTAGAAAACAATTTCTAACACCCATTCCGATTGGTCCTTACGAATCAGCCACCAACATATAATCGTACTCAATGTGACTGCTTCTATTACTAGTCAATCTGATTATAGGATCAGTCGGTCATAGTGTGAAACAGCCCTTAGTCTTCTTACTTCCTCTTTTCATATTAGGCTCAGTTTGATGAAAAAATTTGTGAAAAATACAGACAGAAACAGAGAAGGCTTTGCTTACCTGAAGCAAAAGTTTTCTTGCCTGAATGATGCAAAAGTAAAGAAAGTTTGTTGGTCCCCAAGTAACACAGCTTTTGAAGAATCAAAGTTTCAAGAAAAAACTTAATCCAATAGAGAGTACAATGTGGGACATATTAGAATATGTAAGAGAACTTTTTGGGGAATGTAGTTAACAAATGAGGAGATCATGGAGAATTTAGTAACATCCTACCAAATACTGGGTTGCAATATATTACACAAGATGTATTTCCATTTAGATTTTTTTTTTTCTCTAACCTAGGAGCTATTTCTGATGAAGATGGAGAAACATTCCATCAGATTCTTTCTCAAGTGGAAAAGTGCAATAAGCAAAAGGTGGAAAAAAATCATGTTAATGGATTATCACTGAATTCTACAGTTAGAGACTTTGAAAAAAAACACGTCATTAAGTATTTCAATTTTTAAATGTATAAAATTATGAAAAAGAAGTAATTGACAAATTTATTTGTATCTAATAAGTCAATTATCAATGTATGTAAGCAATAAATATGATATCTGAACAGAAAATGTTTTCCTTCAATAACTTCATTTCTCTCAAAAGTGGTGGGTGTTAGGCCAATTCTGTTTCCAGATTCAGATTCAGCCCCACTGAAATTATAAAAGTCAGTAAAAATGTTTGACAAGAGCAGAAATAAATTTTTTGCAGAACAGTGTAATCCAGTGTTTCTCAACCTCTGACGAATCGTCACTCCCTTCAATAAAACCACTATGTAGTATCGCCCCCTTCACTACAAAATTCTGATGCCGAGGGCCAAGGCTAATATGAGAATCTGGATGGATACCTATCTAATTTGCATAATTTGCACTCTATATTAATATACATTAAGCTAAATTTGTTTAAAAATTCTATTAAAGTTTTAAACCAAAAAAAGGTTACAAAGCTTCAACATCCTGAAAACATGCTCTATAACACAATCTTTATTGAGAAATGAGAAATGCTTCCTTCCTCCACCTCTTATCTTAAATTTTTCAAACCACCTGTCCGAATATCACGACGACACATCTCGTCTCAGATGATGCATTTCTAAGAAGGGGAATTGGGAAATATTCAGTAATAAAAGGGGAGGTTTCCATACACTCGGGGCAGTTCATCTCTGATAGAACATGCCACATACAACTCCTCCGGCTGCTCTTCCTACTGGACATCCCATGGTGACATCCAGCATCCTGCTCAGTCCTACCTATAACCAGCTCCTCCAGAATGAACAATGAGGTAATATAAAACCATTGTAAACTCTCTCTCTCATCCTGATTATAGTCATAGATTAGACATATGTTTTATGTTTTGTTATTCTACTATTTGTCGTTGTTATTTTGGTCTTCTGTGATTAAATTGTTGATTTTTATATTATATGACCTTCTTAGTCTAGTATTTATTGACTATGCACAACTGAACCCCACACAGAATTTTACCACTCAGATTCTGTTAGAATAAGCCATCCAGTGACAAAGTGAGCGTCTAAAGGATCTGACGATTAGAGGGCCTTGACCCTCGTCTGTATTCTCACACTAATGCCAAATTCGTACTGCATTAAATAGACTAGTGACTAGTATAATGTTATTTGTTTAATTATTGCACGATATAACGAATAAAATATCTAATTATTCTTAATATAATGTTTTACTATATCGCCCAGAAAATTGTTTTTTGCCCCCAAAATATAAATTGTCACTAATCGCCCCCTCAACATGGAAAAACGCCGATATCGCCCCTGTTGAGAAACACTGCTGTAATCAGTATTCAGTAGCCAGAAAGGCAAGAATATTGGTATTCTGTAACATCTAAATAATTATTTGGTATTCAGCCAAAAACCCCTATTCAATCCATCCCTAATTTATGCCAAGTGTAAAGAACTTCACCTTATTTAAGTCAGTAAATTAAAAGTTAAAATTTGTAAGAAATTTAATACAGCTATGTAACTGATAATGTATTAGCATATACAGTGAAATTCTTAATCTGGCAACAGAATTGGCCTAACATCCACTACTTTTGAGTGAAATTCTGTTAACCCAGCATCTGGTATGCTGGCAAACCCAATAAGCCTGCATGTTGAGCTCATCGTTGAGAAAGGGTTAATTAGATATTAAGTAATTTAGTATTAGAGGTAGATATTAGGCACCATCTTTTATTGAAATTAATAATTATAATAATTTAATATTTATCCAGTCATATTTAATTCTTGATATAAGAATTAATATTAAATTATTATAATTATTAATTTCAATAAAAGATGATGTCTAATACCAAATTACTTAATATCTAATTATTAATAGTAAGAAGAAATAACCCAATTAATTATGGCAATTGTTTGGTTTATTATTAATACATCAGGCTTAGTGATGTTTATATATTTAATAGTGTGTTTTATTCTATTAAATTTTTTATTTGATTTTTTTCTAACATTCTTTCTTTATAATTAATAACATTATTACAAAAAAATTAAATGATTTAAATTTATTGATTGTAATGATTTCTTTGAATAGTGATTATAGTAAATACAGTAATACCCCAAACTTACGCGATAGGTGGGACCGAGCGATAACCGCGTAAGTCGGGGTATAATTTCGCATATAAATACATACAAATAATTTTTAACTGGGGCCTGAGACTAAAGAAAACAATAATTTAGAAAAAAAATGTTTAATAAAATCTTAGATAATACATATGTATAACAAATTATATTATTATACAATTTTTCACATTTACTTGATTATCACACCATAATTTTAACATTGTTTCCATCTCAGCAATAATACCATGACGTTTACGAATGAAGCTTGAATTTAAAGATTGAGCATTTTTCGCAGCTTCGAGAATTTTTTCTTTATCTTTTATAATTGTTCTGACCATCGATTCCAGTAGATCAAACTTCTTTGCCAATTCACAAATTTTCATTTTTGTATTGAAGTCTTTAATAATGTTAACTTTACATTCCAAAGATAAAGTTTTTCTTTTCTTGTTTGATGCAGAAGATCAGTTGTTTGATCAGTTGTACTTTGTTTAGATGACATACTAGAGTCTCTCAAGTCTCCGTAGATATAACAAACACAGAAACAAATAATATAAAATAAATTGTAGCTATGTGTTAATTCCGCGCAACATACCAAACATGTAAGCTGAACAATAGCGTGGGGGGTGAGTAATCAAGAGTTGCGTGGTGCTCAAACAAAAGACAAATCGATGAGATTTGAAAATTGTGTAACTCTGGGTTCGCGTAAGTCGGGGTAGCATAAGTCGAGGTATTACTGTATTTCAATTCAAATAGTAATAAAGATAAATTCATAATAATATTGATAACAAAAATAGTGATTACCTGTTGTAACTGAACTTCAGAATTAAGCGAAACTTCACATGTCTGGCAGAAAAATTTTCCAAACTTCGCAGGGACAGCTTGTGGAGCTTCAGTCACTTTATTGTCATCATCAGCTTCAACTTCACCTGTGAATCAGATTGATAGTCAATCTTCTGATCAAACTAATGATCAGATTGAAGATCAATCATTACAGAAACAAAAAAGGAAATATCAACAATAAAAGAATCTAAAGCCTTAATGCTTTAAACCAGATGCTCAAATCCCATTTCCATTAAAAAAATATATATAGTGTATATATTTTGTTTTGCCATATGCCAAAATAACTGATAATGTTTCTTCAATGCATAAAAAAATACACCCATTACTAAAAAATTTCAGATCATTTCTTGCATCTAATTTAATTACTTATTTTTTTTTCTATTTATCTTTTTTTTTTTACAAATAATTAAATAAAACTCAATAAGGTCCATTAAATATATTAAAATTATTATTAGAATATTACCATAAAAATATAAAAATAAAGTAAAAATATATTTATAGAAATAAAATTTACAAATAAGGAAATCTTTAAAGAATGGTTTCTATATTTTTGAATTTTGTTTAATTTGAAAATTACAAGACAAAAATTCTTTCAAACAATTGGATAGGTTTAATTAAACAATTAATAGTTTGTATATAAATATGATTGATTTAGGGTTGACAATATTTTGTCCTATCACAAATCAACTGAGTTGGCTTGATATATTTTAAAACATTTTAACCAATAAAACATTCTAAAATGTTTTATTTTTAACATATACATTTTAGATTTTTAATTTGAGTTTTTAAATGTACAAAAATTTTTAATGTTTAAAAATATCAAAAAGTAACTAACAAAGACTTATTTTTGATGGAACTAATGTTATAAATAATAAACTGAACTTCCAAGTTTCAATGTGTTAGTAATTATAGGTTAAAAATAAAATACTGAATCACTAAGGGTATCAATGTTTCAAATTTTTGACCAACAACAAATATTTTAAGCTCTAGCCATTTAAACTGAAATTTCACAAACCAGAATAATGTACATTTATTAAGTCAGTTTTATAATCATATTGTTATATTTCTCATTAAAAAAAATTTAAAGTAAATAAAGGAAGATACTTGAATCACAAATATACCAGGCGTACCATAAAAAACTTGATGCATTTTAAAACCTTTTAACTAAAAAGTAGCTGTCCAATTTGAATGAAATTTTACAAAGCTCTTATTTAGACTTCAACATGACACCTGTTTGCTACACAAAATTCATATCAAGCTGAGATTGAATTCCATATAATTTCCAGCATTTCTAAATGAATTGTATCCATGATTTTCTCTTTTAAATCATCATCATCATATGTCAGCCATCATCTATAAACAATCCTTTTAATGTACACACACAGATTGAAGTTGGATAATATGAGATCTGGGAATCTCAATTACGTGGGAATTTGATGATCAGTTTATAGGACTCCTTGCCTACCGAATTTCACCCTGTTAAACGATAACAAGGGATCAGTGTGGTGATGTCCTATGTTGTTGAAAACCAGTCCATCAATTTACTTGTCTAACTGGGGAGCACATAATTTTCCAACATGTCCCTATATGCATCCTACCAGACAGTTTCTTCAGCAAAGAAGAAGCGCTCCATCACCCAATGATACCAGATATGGTAAAATGCATGTAGATACATGTAATATGTGATATGGTAAATTCATAAAATGCATGTAGATTTTGTGCACCCCAAATGATGGTATTGTGAACATTCACCTTACCACTGACATGGAATGCAGTGAAAGGGTGGGCACACAGTGATGCAAGTAGATGGGTTTGTTTTGCAGGCAATTCACAATTTTCAAACAAAGATTGAGATTTTTACATCTTACAGAGCTTGAACTCACTGAATCTGATAGGGATACAGCCCTAAGTGTTTTCTTACAATCCTCTGATATGTTGAACAGAGAATACTTATTTTTAGTGATAATTACCTTAGGGGTTTTCCCAGGCTATGGTCCATCACTGCACATACTTGATTTCTTTTTCCACTTTGCCAGGATCTTTCCTGTTTCCTGGTTTTCTCAAAACAGTACCAGTTTCTTCAAATTGTAAAAAAACAGTTCAAAATACTATTTCTTGATCACACAAGTTGTGTCTTATAGTCTTATAGTGTCCTGTTGAACAACCAGATAATGCACTTTGCTTTCTACTGAATGGATTCCTCATTTTTTGTTAATTGTGGCACTTGTGTTTGCAAGGATAATGTGTGTTTTCAGCAATGCATTACTACAAAAAGTTATAAGTTAAACTGTCTTCTTGCAAAATTACAACGACATAAGATGATTATTTTCTTAGTTATAAGGTTTTAAAATTATCAGGTTTTTATGGGACATCCTGTATTCTAATTCTTTTCATATACAAATGAATTCTTATAATTTTAAGTTTCTAGTTGCAAGACTAAATGCATAACTAAATATTACAAGAAAAAACTTTAATAATTCAGATTAAAAAATGAAAAGTTTTCAAATATTCTTATTAATTTTAAAGAAAGAGAAAACTATTATAACATAAAACTGATGAAAAACTTTTAAATCAATTAGATATCAGCAATAGAACAATATCATTGTAAAATAGTTATAATATTTAGTATTTTTAAGAATTAAAAAAACAGCTTATGTTGGTTGGATAATTATTTCATTTCAGGATTAGAGATCAAATTCATATCCAAAATATTAGAATACCATAGACAATCATAAAAACCTCAGATTACTTTCATTGAAATTTAATGGAATCTAGGAAAATTCTAAGACAGTCTTATTTTAATTTCATGGAAAAAATACTGTATTCATGATGTGTACAGATTTTTGAATGAGCTGTGGTCTTACCCTGTTCAATAATAAATCAGTGCCAGATAACCACTTTAGATAAACTCACACATTGTGAACTATTTTCAAATTTTAAATTATTATTATTAAGATTAATTTATTTTCTGATGTCATATATCTAAAATCAAGAATAGTTCAGAAATATCAAAACATTTTGATATTATGTTTATATTCACTGGCAAATTGAAACAGCAAAAAAAATCTTTCTCACTTTATATTTTTAGAAGCAAAAATATAGGACCAATTTTCTTTAACTTATTTTAAAAATATTTTAATTGGTTACATGTATAAAAATCATTCCCAAGAAAGTTTGCTTCACTGAAGATCAATTTCTTTTCTAATAAGAGAAAAGAAAAAAGATGAAATTATAAGATTCCTTTCAAACTGAAATAGCAAATTTGATTTCTATAAAATATATGTTTGAAAAAAATTTTGGTTTCTATAATATAACTTTTTAAAATAAATGAAAATTTCTTTGATTCATAATATAAAAGTCCATACTTTGGATTATTAAAAATTTTATGACAATTATGTCTAAATTGACAATAAAAGATTTATAAACTGTATTCAAAATAAAATCAATGTTGACTATTCTAACATTTTAAATATTAAGCATGTGCTTATTGACATTGACTTATAACTCAAAACAGCCTAAAACAAAATCAAAACATTTATAATCATTGTGAATCACTTTATTTTTCATAATACATTAATCACAATAAGCAGATTTCTCAATTCTGATGTACACCTTTTTTTATTAGACTTCCCTAGTGTACAAAACTAGAGTGTATGTGTATTTGAATCAAATACAAAGATGACTTAATGCAGTTTCATTTGCATTGTTTACTCCTCATTCTGTATGGAGGTTTGTATGTATTACATCATCAAAACAGACATGGTACACATTTCTCCCACTGAATTAGTGGGATGAATGTGTACCATTGTGTTTAATTTTGGTTTTGGAATGGTTTGACAGTAAGCCACTTTGAACTACAACAAACAGTGAAAGATGTCCAGCAGATGGTTTCCTATAAAGCTAAGTTTAAGCAGAGTCATCTGCTATGCTGGAAAACACATATAGATACAAGGGCTATTTTTTAAATAAGTCCGTTTGTGAATGAGAATGGTGCGCGATTGCAGCAGTGTGCACAAGCATCTGCTTTCAGTATGCTTTGCGTGTGTTTAGATGCCATTTGCAGCTGTATCATCTGTCCATGTGCTGAGCTGTAGAAGTTTATAATGTTTAAGAAAACTGAGTCACCCACTGACTGTAAGATACGATCTGTTATTCGATTTTAGCAAGAAAGATCATGGTAACTGTCTTTTGGGACAGGAAAGGGACTTTGTTAGTGGATTCTAAGTCAAGAGGCACAACAATCAATTCTGATGCTTATTGTGTAACCTTGAGAAAACTCCTCCATGCCATACAAGACAAGCAACCCCTAATGTCTTCCGGCGGTAGACGGCAGATTTCTTTGAAGTCATAATTTAAAAAATTTTTGAGGGTATGACAAACGTTTGAACAAAAATTGAAATTATGTAGAAAAGTAGATAAAAGTATGTAGAATATGGGAAAAAATATATTTTAACAATATATTTTATATTTACAGTATTTTTCTTCTTATCAAAAAAATGGACCTTATTTAAAAAATACCCTTCATATTTTATTGTGATGATATCTGGAAAGTTCCATTTCTTATCATATTGACATGAAATTTAACTGTTAAAACACTGATTACATGGTAATATTGACTGTGATTGATGTGTTGTATGCAGATCTTCTGTAACTGTAATAGAGTCATAAATAAATATATTTAGAAATGTGATCACAAAAAACTGTAAATATGATAAAATGTTTTTCAAAAATACATTTATTGCTGTCTGAATACATTAACTTTCCACAGCTGTATGAACTGGATGTACAAGTACATTAGATTTGTTGGTATATTAGAATGCATAGCAGAGCACTTGGCACTGGTATCAACTGTTTGAAATTTGTATAAATTTGAACTTATTTATTTCCTTACTGTTCTTTACAGTATAATATAAGCATTCTATTTTTATATAGGTACATTTACATTTTTTTAATATAAAAGTCATTTTATAGTAATCTGTATTTGATTTCTTAATGATTTAATAGAAAAGATGGGCATCCCTTGTACAACACGATACTTCTACAACAATTTTGCTCTAACACTATTTTGGTTGGAAATCTCCATACAATTTTACAATTTTTAAGTGTGAACTTCATTATTCAATATTTTTTTTTTTATTCAAGTAAGCATGCATGCATGTCTCAAATTTGCCCATGGATTTTAGAATATTGAAATTTTCAATTTGTTTTGTGCCTTTTGTCAGGTTTACTTTAATGAAAACTGATAGGACAAGGAATAAAAAAATTACACTAACTTTCTTATCAACTAGGTGTCATCATAGTTTTCAGACTTTAGCCATTAGGATTGTCATTGTGTTTTCTTTTTATAGATTAATCTTCATATTTAGTAAAGTTTATTTAAACATTTTTAGGAAAGTGTAATTAAACATTTTTTAACCATAGCTATTACTTACTTATGAATGATTACTTCATTCATAAAAATGACAAAAGAAATACAGCAGTATCTCGATATTCGAACAGTTTCCAACTCAAACAATTCCATATTTGAACACACATTGTGGAAAAAATCTCTCTGTACTCGATTGAACAAACACAATCCTACAGAAGAAATTTTTGTTTAACATGTGAGAACTCAAACTGTAACGAAAATCTTTTTTCAATTTCATCATACCTATTTTGACAACTAACATTGTTGACTATCCTTTACTACCTGAGAACATCTTGATTTACATTTTCTTGATGGTGAACACGATGCGTTCCCGTGATTTGTTGACCTTTCAGCTGTCTGTTACTGATTTTAAATATCAGAATTGACAGCCAAATGAGTCAGCCATTGTCTGTTCCTCAAGGAGTAAAAATCATTGCCAAATTCTTGTGTGAGTGCCCAATCCTACTTTACTTTGGATATTTCATTCTACCCTCGGTCAACTATGCCTTTGAAAACAAACTTTCCCAAACAATCCTGATCCAGAACTTTCCTAAACAATCCTTAATGAGACAACTTTAAGGCTCTAATCACAACAAAACCTTAATCCAGGAACATCCTCTTGTGAACACCATCAATTCCAGGTATTTATTGACTTATCAACAATTGTAAACTCACTCTCTCGTGACCATCTCCATTAGATAGGTCAGTTAATCTGATATTATGATATATGTATCATGTAACCTTTTCCTTTCAAATAAATGCTTATTTGTTGTTAACCATAGAGTCTGAGTGCACTACTTCTGTTGCACTGTCTCACCATCCTCCACCTGAAATCTGATTGCCTGCACACATGGCTGCTTGTGTGACCTACTTTCAAACCCAAAATAAACTCACCATTCCATGTCGAATGAGACACAGTGGTGTCAGTCCTGACAAGGCAAAGTTATGCTGACCCTCCAGTCACAAACAAAATTTTCATTTTGTTTTATTTTAATTTGTCATCCATAAAAAATTATGATAAAAATTTTAAAAAAATTAAGATCTTGCTGATATTTCTGATCAAGATCAACAAAAAAACTCAGATAATGACAATACTTTGTAAAAAGAAAATATCCTTGTTTAACTAAAATTAATATTAATGTGTCATACAATACTTTTAATTGTGGTTGTTAGTTAATTATTGATTGTTTTAACAAACGTATTTCTCTTAATGATAAAAAGAACTACACTTTTGCTAACTTCTGGAACCTAACCTCATGTTTTGCATTAGTCCTTTGTTTCATATAGCACGGATTCACATAACACAGCACTTTTTCAGAATGTAACTACAGTGTTATAAGAGGGATAGCTATACTTCTCACTATGAGAGATTTGAAGAGTGAAAGTAAAATATGGTTACTAAGTTACAACATTTATTGTTGAAAATTATAATAACTGAAAATATCCAACAATTTAATATTTTGACAAAATGTGATATTTTCAAATCCTGCTAGTGAAACTATTGATGTAAATCTCATTCAATTTCCAGGATATTTCTTGTGTTCAATGGCCAAAGAAAGACTAAGTGATTTAACATTATTTTTTATTAAAAATTTCACATACAGCTTAAGTCTCACTAGTGAAAACAGTTGATACAAGCTCAAGTTTTCTCTGAATTTTTAGACAAATCTTAAATAGACCTACAGTGTACTAATGCAATTTACTACTTTTAAAATGAATAAATTATTTATAATTTTATAAATATTAGACTGTATCACAAAAAAATTAAAGAAATCTCAATTGGCCCATTCTATTGGAAATCCTGCACACAGATTCACTCATATGTCATTATCCCACTATAGATGCACTGTTTCAAAAATACTTGTTTATTACAAAGAAACTGTGCTCTTTTAGTACCTGAAAAGTGTAAATGACCCAATACAAGCTCCATAGTCTTTGATGGGAAATTCTACTTATTATTCTCCAGACATTGCACCATCCTAGTAACATGTTTTCTTTGTGTTCAACAATCATCAATTCAATCAAAAATTCTGAAACTAAGAAGTGTAAAAACAGCTTTCTTCACTTCAAGAGATAAAGATTTCTACTAGATTTTACAGTACAAACTTTTAACTCATTGGAAATCAGTTATAGATTGTGCTGGCGTATACTTTCCCATATAAAATATCTTTATTCACTTTTTTACATAAAGTTTACCACACATTCTTTTGGATACGAAACACTATAAATGTTCAAATATTAAAATAAATGCAATAAACAATGGCTGATTTTGTTATTAGACTGATTCGTTTATAGTATATGTGTCAAAATATAAATTTTATTTTTATTTCTGGAAATTTTAAAACTTTTACTGAAGAAAATTTTCTAACTATTAAATATAATCTTCAACAACTATAAAAACAAAAAGTAATGAAATATTTTTCCAAAACTATAATTTAAGAAGTTTAATATTTTCTAATTTCATCAAAATACAAAAACAAAATTACCATATGTTCTTTTCAGACTTTTTTCTTCTTCAACATTTTGTACTGGTTGTGGAGGGGGTGGTGGTGGTTTCTGAAAACAACTGGGATCTATACCAAGAGAACGACATTTAGATTTGTGCTTGTTCCCTGTAAAAAAAGTATATAATTAATAAAAATGTCATACAAAAACCAGAAGTAAAATAGCAATGTATTAAAAAGCCTTTTTTACCAACATATTTTATTGCAAAAGCTTTTCAAAACTGACAATATATTTTTATAGGGAATATGTTGGAAAATATCTGTTATTAAAAATATGCATGCATACAATGCAAGATTAACAAAATAAAACTTCAGAAAATTTTTAAAATGGGTAATCCAAAATCAAATTATAAGAAAACTATTTTTTTACTGGAATAAACTTGGAGAGCATCTGACTGCTGTGTTATTGATATTAATTCCTGATTTTCTTTTTAGGTAAATTTATTATTATGGCTCCTAAATTGAATAGGAAATCATTCTTTCCAATTTTGAAGGAAGCTTTTAAAAGGGAACAAAGAATTGTTTGTTTAGCTATTAGAAAAAAACTTTGATGTGGAAGAGGATGTGTGGGTACTGTTACATTTACATCTTTCATTAAACTCTGAAGTTGATGAATTTATTTCTAGGTTAAGCTATATAGTAGAATTCATTCTACTATATAGCTTAACCTAGAAATAAATCATATTCCCTAAATTTCTTCTAAATTTAGGGAATATGATTTATTTCTAGGTTAGACTATTTAGGGATAATGATGTTAGATTAACAGTAGTAGAAAAAGTAGTCAGCAAAAAGTGCAGTTTGATTGACAAGGATATTGTAAGCAATATTGCAACTGAAAATTAGATTTTTTTGGATAATCAAAGGAAAATCATTATTGAGTTTCCTTTGATCTGGTATGTCTGAGGATCAGGCTGAGTCACCTGCAGATACAAAAAATGAAATTTGTTGAAGAAATTATGCAGTTATTACATATTAATATTATTGAAATAGAGGAAGTGCACCTTGCTTAGTCATTTTTGTATTCAGTGATCCTTATGACAAGAAGTTTAATAAAAAGTAAGTAATACAAAAAAAAAAAA